ACATTCTCAGGGACCAGGGCATTCCTGAAAATCTCTTCATCTTCATTCCAAAACACTTGCTCATCGACAAAAACTTCATTTTCCGGGAGATGCTCGTCGATGGGCTCCAGGTGCTCTGCAGAAAGGTGGTGCTCCTCGGCAAGCAAGGGTTGAGTGGGCACCTGTATGCTCTCAGCAAGGCTCTGTTGGAGCTGAGCTTTTGTTTTCTTCTTGGCAGCTTTGTAGGGGGTCCCAAACAAGCTTCAAACGACCGTGACGTAGTCGTTACGCAAGAAGTGCTCTGGCCGACTTTTTTGTCAATCCGTCAGCCAGTTGGCGTTCCGATGACATCCACCTCAAAGAACCGCCAAGGGAGGTGAGGCGATCCTTCATCACACGGATCTCAAGCGAGACTCGCTTGTCAACCACAGAGCTTCCGACTCCTTCTCGATGATAGGAGTCGTGAAGGGCCTTGGCGTCCGTGATCATGGTGGGCGACAACAAGGATGGAGCGGCCAAAAGCTCTTCGAGTCGCTGGCGAGGGTCAACCAACAAGCTCCAGTAGATGCTGGCACGCTCCAATGCATCGCAAGCTTGACCACCGCTTTGTGCTTCGGCGCCCAATGAGGAGCAAGCAACTCTTGCCGTCTTCAGACTGCGCCAATCCAACACGTGGTATGCTCCTTCGGGTCCGTTGGCCTGAAGCAAAACTTTGTTGACCATCAGGATCACATAGCCAGCTTGTGAGGCTCCGTCGCTTCGGGTGGCAAAAGCAGCATCAAAAAAACATACCAAACAAAATTCTGAAACTTCCCCCAGGTGGCTGTATTGAAGACCAACATCAGCATTTTCTTTTGCAAAGCGCAACAGGCAATTGGTGTCGGCCACTGTTTGGAGCGTGGCCTTGGTAACATGGCCGTTCAAAATCGAGATACTGCTCTGCAAGTGAGGACTGCTCTGAACAGCGGGCCATTAGAGTGAGCCAAGAATCAAGAAGTCCTCTCAGCTGTGTCAGCTCACGCTGATTAAGCGCATCAGTGAGGCTACGCTTCTTGTCATAAGTGATCGGTTTCACCTTTCCCATGTAGCTGGTCTGGTTGAGGAGGAAGCCATCATCCTTGACCTGAATGTCACAACCACAGTAGGTCAAGGGCTTTCCATCATCACCAATTTTCCATTCACGGAAGTTGAAGGTACCCTTCAGCTTGGTGATAGTGTCGTTGTAGCACTGGGAGTGTGGCGAACCGCAACCAAGCACGTCATCAACATGCATAATGACCATACCACACAGACCATGAGGCCCGAGCAGGTTGGTGTGCTCAGCGGTGGTGTCATACTCAGGGTTGAGGTCACCTTCATAGATCAAGAAGCAACAGGGGTCTTGAGGATGCTGTCGGAGGCCCATGGCACTCAACTTGTCAACTGCAGCCATGAACCAAGATTCTCGGTGCATCGATCTGGCCGTAGCAGGGCTTGAGAAGCAACATACGGGTGTCAGCTGTAGCTCCAAGCAACTGCAAACATTCTTGAGGAAGCTGCACCCGCAACTGCAAACATTCTTGAGGAAGCTGCACCCGCAACTTGCGTGTCTGAGGTCGGCCCTGTAGGAAGGCGATTGCAATGTCTGAAGTCCAGATCGGCCACTGCATGGTGGAGGCCAAACTCAAAGGCATGGATCTCGACAACCTCGTGGTTGTGGGCGATGAGGTCGGGACAGTGCCTTCCCAGGCGTCAGGGTCCATGAAACCTCTGACAATGAGCCTGGCTTTGGCTCGTGGACTGCCGTCAGGATTCTTTGACCGCTTCAGCAGCATGCGGCTGGTCAGTGTCCGACTGGGCTCAGCTTCTCTGGTGGTCTCGAACTGCCATACGTGGTTGTCGAAGAAGGATTGAAGCTCTTTGACCTTGGCAGCTTTGAAGGCTGCTCGCTCATCGGGAGTCATGTGGCGCTCGGAGAGGTTGTTCTTGTTCTTGTCTTTCTTGAAGCTTTTGGCATGTCGGAGTTTGGTCTCCTTGCCAAGCTGTCGTGCTCCTTGAAGTGGTGCCTTAGCAAACATAGCCATCTCACGACGGAGGTCGCCTTTGATCTGGAAGATCGTGACTCCAGTCCATGAGCGATCCAGTGGAGTGGACACGGTGTGGCCATCGTCAGTCTGCTGAATGCTTTTGCCGTTGTTGTCATACATAATGGTCACCCGAACCAGATCAAGCTAATCTGAGGTGAATGGGCTGTCTTTTGGCAGTTTGTGCAGGCACATCTTGGACCGTCGAGGGATCACATGGTCGCGAATCAGGCATCCAGCTTTGACTTCCCAGAAGTCGCGGTCTCTCTTGTCGAGCTGGAAGTAGCCATTCTCATAGGTCCAGCCTTTTGGAAGGCAGTTGGCTTCGATGCCTGAGACTTGGAAGGCGTGATTCAGCAGGGCATAATCTGGCGCCTTCTGATTGCGTAGAGAGCAGGGTCATCTAAAGCAGCAGGCGCTGCCGATACTTAGGCTGGCGCTTCTGCAGCTGCCGCTGTTGTGTCATGTTCTGCTTCCGCTGTTGCTGGTGTGTCATATGGTGCCGTGTTGTATGGCTGCGGTGACCCAATGCGCTGTCTTCGCATGGGGCCAAAGCTCAGTGTTTCCTGCTTGTTGAATCGTGCTCGTCTTTGTTGAAAGGACTTAGCATCCACTGTCTCGTACAAAGCGGCCGTGGCTGGATCCAAGGTAGGCCTTGGCATTGGTGCCGGAGGTGCTGTGGCCACGGCTGGTGGTGATGCAGCATGAGGTGTAGCTGCTGCGGACGGTATTGTTGGTTCTTCGTCACGTTGTGAGCGGTCAAACGACGGTAGGCGGTGTCGTGGTCCGTAACAAAGGACAGGAGGCTTTGTCGAGGCTTTCGTTGCAACACGTTGAAGTACTCCTCAAAGTCGTTCGGAAGCAGCACTCGATCATCATACTCGAAGTTCTTGTCGAGCTTAGTGATGATCTTGCCAAAGCCATCCTCCTTCTCAACATCTTCAACTAAGAAGTCCTCAAACAACCGCCAGACCACACCCTGAAAACTTCCCAGGATGTTCAGGACAGATTCGGCTGTGCGCTTGCTGATCTTCATCTTGTGGTGGTAGAGCATCAGCCTCTTTCTATACTCTTTGTAGTCCTGGGGTTGGCCACTAAAAAGTGGAACGAAGGAGTCGCGCAGGTTGAGGTAGTCTCCGTCCTTGGAGCTCTCTGCAGCCGATGTCGTTGGTGGCATTCTCAATCAAGTAGCCAAGACCGATAGGGCTCTTCCACGAGGAAACCAAAGAGCTCGGCCAAGGGTTCGTAACAAAGGACTTATGCAGAACCTCGTTCTTCTTCGCGCAAAGGACTCGGAGCCCCCCGGAAGAGGCTCCGCTACCAATGCGAAAAAAGGTAGCACGGCGCTCGAGGTCCGTGAACAGGTCGAAAACGAAGTCGCTCAGGAAGCGACACGGCCGCGCCTTTTCTCAAGGCGAACGCCCACCCGGTGCTCGAGTGAGTGAAAGCGTCGGGGCATGAAACAGTTCGAAAAGCTGCAACCCTAAGTGCACAGCGTGAACTTTACAAATATATATTTCGATTTTCTTATTTATAATCTTTGATCAATTTGCTCTAATGAAAGATTAATGCAATGAAATATTCGTCCAACCATGTCCAATCAATCCGGTTCCTCATCAAAGAGAATATCAATATAAATTCATAATTGACGATCATCTCTTAGGACAGGTTGCAAACCATCTAGTTGCCAAAATTTCATGTATAGTTCGAAGAGGTTTGCAATTGCCCTATGTCTCGAATCATAAGGACGTGAATTACGACATTTCCTCTTCCATTTGCATTCTATTCTGCTTTTCTTTCTTCTGCTGGTGGTTCTGCCGCTTGCCGTGCTCGCTTCTCGCTTCTGCTGTCTTGTCTTCCGCTGTTGCCGCTTTTGCTTGTGCTTCTTCAATCTTCATTTCTCTATTTTTTTGTTGCACCTTGATTTTCTCTTCTTTTGTAGATTATGAATGATCGCATTGTTCTTCAGCAAAAGAAGGCACATGGTGAAGAGAAATCAAAGAGTTGGCGTCAATACTTACTTGCCTTTGCATTCGAACAGATGGACTCCCTTGTAAGATCAAAAAGAGAACAGGGTCCTGCACAAGATGTAGCGTAGTGTGCACTCTAGCATTGAGGGAAGAGGAGGTTGCCGTGTTGGGTTGTTGTTGCAGCGTGTGAGGTCGAGTTTGCTGTCAAATTGCCTCCAATAATACACCCAATCTCCAAGTTGGGTTCATCGAATGCTTTAGCTATTGAAAATTTTAGAGCATTGTCGCCCCAATGTTGATTGGTTTCATCTATGGGCGAAGATTGATTGGTTAATCATAAAATCAGTCATTGTGTGGATTGTGATCGAAAACAACCTGATATCGGTGAACACATGTGAAAGCAAACAGGGGAGAGCGCGCGTATGACAACACACATATAAGAGCACAAATGTGCGAGAGCGCGCAAATGTCACACATGAGAGTGCACAAATGTGAGAGCACCCGTATGTGAGCAAATACATGAGAGCACACATATGAAAGCATGTGTGTGGCGCATGAGAGCATACATATGAGAGCACGGAGGCGAGCGCAAATATGAGAGGTTCAGGTTCAGCGATTGCTGCGCCTGCCGCAACATTTGCGCAGGGAGGTTTAAATGCTGCGCCTGCCACGCAATATGGAATCTGCACATCCAATGCACAAAGTTCCCGTGCGCCTGCTACGAACAGATCGAAAAGTGACCACCAAGTCCAAACATGTGCATGGCACGGGAATGAGAATGCAGTCAAGGAAAGCGCCCGCTCCAGCCAGCCCAGCCCAGCCCAGCACTTGGGCGATCTCGAGAGGCATGAATGTACCGTAAATAGCAGCGAATTTGCTGGGCACGCTGGTGAGCACGCTCAATCAAACCCAGCCTTAAAAGGCCTTAACCCCTAGTGTGACCGCACTTTGATTTCAGATATGGTTTTGGTCTTTCAACGCATTTTCATAAGCCTTCTCAAGCTTGTGCAACCTGTGTGTTGGCCTACGCACGTCAGAGTGCCTCTTGTGGGAAACCTTTATCTTGAAGACTTGGAACTGTTTACCTTTTTAAGGGTAGTAAACAAAGCATTTGTGCTTTGCACAAAGCTTTGAAGCAGCCTTCTGCGGCAAAAGTGCCTACAGGCACAAAACTTTCTGTGAAGCTGCTTTCTTTGGTGTGGACATGGTGCACTTCCCTGCTCTTGCGCAATCCTGGCATTGCCCACGCCTGTACTTGAACCCCATCTTCATGTGGCAGGAGCACAACCAAGGAAGGACCTCACAAACTGACTGGCAGAAAAACTTTGACCATGACAGGCAAACTTGGAACGACATGGACATGCGCTCCGTCACAGGATATTCTTTGTCCCACACATCCTTGCCCATTTGCTCCAACAGCACCACCGCCACCAGCTCTTCGGCGTGCCTAGCCAATCGTCTGCCAATGCCCATTGATCAATTAATTGACCAACGGAATGCGATGCCTCTGGAGTGTGCATCCACCAGTCCCAGAAGCTGCACCCTAGACCTGCGCATTTCAGAGACAACGTATCATCAACTTTTGCCTTCGTAGATCTGTGCCTACGCCGGAAGGTGAAGCCCCGGAAGTGAATGCAAACTTCGTTAGCTCAGCAGCCTGGGTCAAACTTTCCTCTTCTCAGTTCACGCTCAAACTTTCCTCTTTCACTCTTCAGCTTTTCACCTCTAACCACGAGCTGAAAATGATCTCGGCGGTTGGCCTTGCTTCGACATCGCAGTGCTTTGAACTGGCAAACGTCAGTGCTAGCACAGTAGCTGCAATGCAACTGCTGTTTGCAGTCAAGAGTCTCAACAGGACAACTTTTGGTCTGTTGTGCCTTTCAAATCTCACTAGAGATTTGAACAAAAAGGAACACACATTCCAGCAATCACCCTGTTGGTTTAATGGCCTTCCAGCGCCAGAAATCGGTACTTCCTCTTGCAATCTGAAGTTTCCTCTTCATCACCTCAGCTCTAGGCTGAGGCAAAGGAACTGTCGAAATTTCAATTTTCTTGTTCACAGGTTAGGGTTCGGCAGCAGCTGCTTCCAATGCCTCCTTGGGTTTGACCCGAATCTGAACTTGAGCGCATCAAACAAAGTCTGTCAACAACATGTTTGTCCAAACCATTTGGGATAAGGACTGCAGGCAAGTCCACATCCGCAACCCCACGAACCTGCACACGGCCCCAAAGCAATGCTGTCTAAAACTCTCAGACTCAAAAGCAGCGTTGGAGGGCAAAACTTGTTCCATCTTAGGAGAAAGGACGCTACTAGAGGCTGGCATCGCTACTAGAAACAAAAAGCTACTAGGAGCACAGGGCATCGCTACTAGGAGCAAGGACGCTACTAGA